GCCTATCTTAGCAAACCTCACATTCTCTGTCCCCAAATCAGAGCTGTTGGTTTAAGCCTGCTGGACTAGAGCCTTGACCTCCATACTCTCGGTTCATTAACTCATTGACCAGTGATGGCAAGCAGCTGACCATGCCCAATATGCAGAAGACAAAGCAACAACCAGTTGCCACTGACATTGAGACCTGCTGAGACTCAGAGTGACCCCAAGTGTGTCAGGGTAGAACTGTGCTCCCTAAGGTATTCAGGGGCTGCTCCCCCCAATAGATTGCCAGGCCTTTCTTCTCCCTTCCGAGTACTAACCAGGCCTGACCCTGCTTAGCTTCTAAGATCAGATGGGATCAGGCACGTTCAGGGTGGTACGGCTGTAGACCAAGCTTTCTTCTGAGGTGCAGCTTGGTGGACTTCAATCACCAAACCTCCAGCTAGTAGCCAAGTGCTTAGCTGTTTTTGCCACCCAGGGACTCCTAGGAGGAGGCTTAAAGGTTGTAAAAGACCTAAGCTAATTATTAGCTGACTAGAGGGTCTCAGTTGTTGTTGTTAGATGCTATCTGTCAAGTTGAGTACAACTCATACTCTGAACAAAAGATCTGAACCCTGTTCTATCCTGCACCATCCTCATACTTCCTGATACACTAGAGCCCATTGTGGCGGTCACTATGTCAATCCACCTGGTTGAGGGTCTTCCTCTCCTTCGCCTACCCTCCAGCCTTCCCAGCATCATGTCCTTCTCCAGGGAATAGCCCCTCCCAGCAACATGCCCAAAGTATGTGAGGCAAAGCCTCATTTTTGCCCCCAAAGAGCACTCCAGCTACACCCTCTCCAAGACCTATCTGTTCGTAGTCCCACTAAAACCCCCTCTTCTGTCCTCAGCCCACCTTTCTGAACAAGAAAGGAAGAAAACACTCACCGTTGCTTGATCGCAGGCCAAGCCAGCTCCGAGGTGGAGACCCGTATTTTGTTAGGACTGAGTTCATGCTTGACCTTGGGTGGTGGCACCTGGCCTGGCCTCAAGCCACGTGCCTCAGCCACTGTCCTCTTGGTCAGGAGCACGTTTAAATGTCCCTCCTGCCCAGAGGCAATGCAATACTAAGTCCTTTCAGACTCAGTCCCTCTCTTAAAATTCCTCCGCTGAATCCAGCTGCACAGAAAACCACGGCCTGGATCTCTCTCTCGCCCAGGCCAATGTGCTCCCCTCCGACACAGGCCCCTCGGGTGCTGTAGATTTTAACATATGGGCTGCAAAGCCACCGCCTCACTGGGTTTCCTCGCTCGTGGTTTTTTCTCTTTGGATTTTCCATTCCCGAGTATCCATTTTTCTCCCTGGAACAGACTTCTCACACTGCTGGCGGCCTTGCGGGGGGATGCCTTCCCTCCTTTGCCAGCAAAGTGCTCCAAAGACCCCACAGGCTGGCAGCAGCCCCTCTGCTGGACCCCTTGGCTAGGAGGAAAGCCTCATAGTTTGGTGACTTCCCCCTGACTGGCTGGGGTTCACTGCTCAGAGACCCGTGCAAGTTCCAAAGCCTTAGAAAAACTGAGCCTGTCTGCTGAGTGCCAGAGCAGCATCAGGGCCAGTTGTCATAGCAACCCTTGGCTTCCAAGCCCAACACATTGTCTGCCCAGCTCAGCTCTATTTGCTGATGCCCAGAACTCGCTTACTCAGCTTGCGGCATTTTCAGATCAGACGTGCTTCCCCTCAACTCAAAGTGTGTCTCCTTGCAGACTGCCCCCCGCCTGCCCACCCTCCACCTCCCAGCTGGCTCCCCTACCCTGCTTTTTCCTGGCAAAGCCTTAGAAACATTTAACTTTAGCAAGGTCTTTCTGCAGAGGCCTGAGCATCACGTGAGCATTTCCCCCTTACTGCACAGATGGCCCCCATATTTATTTTAGCCACTGTTCAGACTCAGCTCCTCAGCCAAGGCAGTCCTCTACGCCAGGGCAGCCGTGAGAAGCTCCAAAAGCTAAGCATAGGCACAGCCCAGGATTCTTGCTTTCTTTTTTAAACTTGAGCTCCTCGGGGAGCAAGCTCTTCCTTCCCTCTAATATACATCTAAAGATAATCCAGAAATGAATATGGCAACCTCTCTTACATACTTGGGCCTAAAGTGAAAATAACCCCCCACTGCACTAATACTGACGTGGAAAGAGACGCAGACATTTGCTGGAGTTTCCAGTTTTCCTTGAGTCTGGCATCCAGATTTCACTAACCCTCTTTCAGCTTTCTTCAATCTCCAATGCTCTGGTCAACATTTCTAACCATGTAAATAATTCCCTACAATGAAACGATCTATCTAGTTACCTAATAAAATTACACAGAATGTGTATTTACAAAAATATTTAATGATACAGAAATTCAAATGTTAAATGAAATACACTGGATAGTAATGGACACATACAGTGGGACATAAATTTTGTAAAAAAAAATTCCACACATAATCCACACGCACACACATACATGTACAGAAAAATACCAGAGGAAACACAACACATGCATTAGCTGTGTGGCGGCGGGCTTACAGGTAATTTTTTATAGTTTGTTTATGCGATGCTGCCTGTAAGTAGGAGGGAGAGGTGTGGCTATGGCTTCAAACATCATTCAAAACCGGCTGTGAGGAATACAGTTGTGGTCCCTGCCTTCCAGCTGAAAGGCTAGTGGTTCAAACCCACCCAGCAGCACCTCCGGAGAGAGACCTGACAGATTCCAAAAGGTCACAGTCTTGAAAACCACATGGTGTTCTAATCTGCACACAGGGGGTCACTGAGTCAGAATTGACACAATGGCAACTACTCTGGGAATCACACACGCGCAAAGATGAAGTTCTTATAAAGAATAATAATGTAGCACACTCTGGAGCTGACCCCAGGACAAACTGGGAGAAATCTCTGAAGCATCTCGGAAAAGTGTGACACAGCATCCTAGAGACAACGCAAGCCCCATACAGCACCTGCAGAGCCAACGGCTCCCTCTAGTGGCACTGCTCTTTCTTTACAGGAGGAGATTGAAGACCCAAACCCACTGCGGCCAAGGTGCTCAGGGGCCCCTTGAGAATCAATCTTTTCAGAACCTGATTCCCACAGCTTTCTCCCATGGAGTGGCTCATGGGTTTGAATCATCAACATTCTGGTGGTTGTTGACTGCTAAATCATTACGGGCCTTTAGACTCAGGACAGGATATCCCTAATGGTCAAAGGAAGCTAGGCTAAAGCAAATCTGGATCTAATTTTAAAAATTAAATTACAGAGCCACCACTTTCATCCTTCAAGAGATCTGCTACTAACAGTCTGTCTGTGGTGGTGGAGTTGCGATTTGACTCTCAGCTGATCCTCCGGTGAGGTTTCAGAGGCTGTAAATCGCACAGGAAGAGAGAGACTGCCATCTATCTCCTTGGAGCTGGTGGAACCAAACCACTAGCCTTGAAACAGCACAGTTCTCTACCCACTAGGCCAGCAGAGCCTCCTGATGGTGGCATATTGTTTTACCTTAGACGTGAGGAATCAGGCCCTATTTCTAATCCAGCAGCAGCTCCACCAGAGAAAGTTGTGCCGTCTCCTCCCACAAAGATTTACAGCCTGGAGGGTTACTGTGGATTGGGACCAACCTCAAAGAGTCTCTTACTTACTTTCTTTTTTTACATTTGTTTTGGTTTGGTGCAATGTGGGACTGTAAGATTCTGAAGGGCCACCACCAAGTACTTAAGACACTGACAAAGCAACATTTTAAACAAACATAAATGTTAAGACTCACACATCCTTTACACAATCATGCTAGGAAGCATTCTTCCATATGGTCACAATACCAGTTTGAAATTCTGTCCCAGTAATTATCTCACCATCTTTAAGCAAAGAAATGGTAAGTCATGGCCCAAGAATCCTGGTTTACAAAAATCATTCCCACCTTAAAACACAAGATTCATCACCACCCAGGCGCAGATGAGGGATGGCTTTCCAGTGTGGCATCACTCCGAGTGTCTTGTACCCCTCAGAGGAAGTTCCAACTGGTACTGTTTGTAAGTCCAGCTGCCCAAGGTCTTTTCCAAGAATCAGCCTGTCAGTCCTTCTTATAAGCCTTCTGGTTTCCAAGTTGCCCATGGCTGATCCTTAAGGATACCAGCAGTTTTAAAGAGCTTCCTGGAGACACTTTCTGTATTTGGGAGTAATTTATTAAAAAAATAGAACAACTCTTGAATTCAGAACTTTTCTCTGTTAAACTGATTAAATTTAACAAACCAAAGATCATGTTTTATCATCCAACACATCAATGGAAGATAACTTACTTATAAGGGACATTTAGCTATAACCACCCACTCAGAAGACAAGGAAACCGTGCTCAGGGCCCCCTCCCTCAATCTGCACATCACTCCAGCAAGGATTGAGTCAGTCTCCATGGCCCATTGTTCCTGAGATCCTGCTGGCCGGCCTCCCTTCCTCTCTGGTACATGTGTCTCTAGTTTCCCTATTTTTATCCTGATCCCAACAACCCAAGTCTTTTTTTTAATTTTTTTTTTATTTTTGTGTGAGTGTACCGTCAAATCAGATCTAACTGGTACAGGAGGAGACTGTCCCTCCTTTCCCGGCAGAGCATCTGGTGGATTCGAACCGTGAGCCTCTGGGATTGTAGTTGCATCTCCTTGTCACTAGGCTACCAGAGCTCCCCAACAACCCAAGTCTTGAAGAGTTTCTGAAGCAAGCATAATGTGTTTTTCTAGTACACATTCTGCTGCTGGTGCACCTGGACAAGAAACATGATCAATCACACAGAAGACTAGGTCAAAAGCCTCTTCTCGATTGTGTAATTTTAAGGCATTTAAAAGAAACTGTAAAACATTTACTACTAAACATGTTCATGAATTACATAGAAATACTGTTTCTTAGGTAAGTGCACCACTTGTGTCCACAAAATATCAAGTCTTCTGGTATCAGGTATAAGAAAAATCAAGCTCCCTGGCAGACAAATTTTTCCCCCTCTATTATTATTATTTATCATCGGTATTGGTTTATTTTTTGGTACAGTTTAGGTCTCAGGTATCTTTCTTCTTCAGGGTTTCCCTCAGAGTATCTTGCTCCAATTTTGTCTCGTGCTCCAGGAAGTCTAACATTGTAATCTGTTGTGACGTAAGGTATTGTTCCTTCAACCCCACGCTGAAAAAGAAACAAAGCAAATAGATGGAAATGCTCCAAAGCTGGGAAAGCAGAGGCTACATTATTTTACTTTTTCCCCATAGAAGACAGAGTTAGCCAAAAGCGAGAAATGAGTTGTAAGGGCCTTTTAGTTTAAGACTCCTCCTTTCAAAGGACTACTTAATGCAGATAGTCCAGATACAAACATTACTGAACCTTCCAATATAATTCAGTTCACAAACAGCACAAGGGCACATACATCCCTTGGGAAGAGAAAGGAATATTCAGTGCCTCCCACCCTACTTGTAGCCCTTGATGTTTGACTGTGGGGCCCACAATACGCTTAGAATACCCTTGGCACGTACACAGCCACTCAGTACTTTCCATGGTGCACCTGAAGCCCATCCTTTAGTTGTTGTGAGGTGCCCTCAATCTGGTTCTGATTCACAGAAACCCCAAGTACAGCAGAATCAAACACTGCCCTGGACTATACCAGCCCCCTCACAGTCATCGCTATGTGTGAGCCCACCATTTCAGCCACTGTGTCAATACATCTCACTGAGTTTCCTCCATTTTTTTTTTAACCCTCAGCTTTATCGAGCAGGATGTCTTTCCTCCAGGGACTGGTCACTCTTGATTACTCATCCACCATACGAAAGCAAGTTTCATCATCCTTGCTTTGAAGAGCACTCTAGGGGGACCTCTTTTGAAATTGTTCTTAGAGAAAGGTAACCTGAGGGAAGCAGCCTCTGCTCTCTTCCACACACAATCTACTCCTCTGATGATGGCTCCACTGTGGGGTTCTTGCCAATTAACAGTAGCGACTTAAAAGTCTCAGGTCTTTGTGGCTACTCTGACTGTCCATCATTCCTACCTGTCCATCAGGTCTTACCTGAACAGTCTAAACTTCTCCAACAAGACCCTGTTCATTTGACTCTCACCTAAACTTGAGTTTCTCACTTTCTCCATTAAGGACATACATGCCTGGGTTTGCTTCTGAGGCTGGTGTTGGGAGTCTCACCTGGTTCTTGAAGACACACTGTGGGATAGAAACAGCTCCGACCAGTAGGCAGTTCACGTCTCTTAGCTCTTCTGGTGGCACAGGGGTGAGGATGTGGTAAAGCCTTTTCTCCATGTCAATCCCTCTGCAGATCCCTTAAGACACAACAACACAACAATCATCCTTTCAAAGTGACAGCAAATCTACCCACTGTGAAAGATCACAGGTGGCACCTGAAAACGAAAAGCATTTTCCAATTTTGCTTTGAAAATGCAAACTGTCAAGAAGATAATAGTATTTGTACCTTTCTCCTAGTTCAGCTGTTAGGAAACAGTACGCCCTAAAGGCCAAAATCCTAGATTAAGTTTTAAGTAAGGTGAACACAAGACTAGGGAGAAAAAAGGAACCAATGAACACTAAGCAGATGACTTGGTATTTCTCCATCAACTCCTGCTTTATTTATGGATCTGCACTAAATGGTACAGTCTATGTGACCATGCTTTGGGGGAGGGGACTTCTATATCAGGGAGCTCTGGTGGTTTAATGTAAAGAGGTGCATTACCAACTCAAAGGCATGTGGTTGGAATCTATCAGCCTCTCCGTGAGATAAAGATGGGCAATCTGTGCAAGGTACTGCGTCTGAAAACCAACTCTGAGTAGCTTCTGAATCGACAGTACACAGAAACAACAATGACAACAGCGCTGTATCAATCTGAAAAATGTAATTAGTTACTCTAGGATCATAATCTTTCTGTCGCTTACATCCTTCTCCCTTCCCTGAGCACCTGTGGATGCTGGCTGACCTCAGCGAGGCAGGTGGGCAGTCATATAGCACAGTGGATGGGGAGGCCCAGAGCTGCAGAGCTGACTGTGGATTGAACGTCCAAGTGGACGTACTTATGTCTGTGCCCACATCACTGGACTAGGAGGAGGAACTTTAAGAGGAAGTGGAGGATGAACTAAGAGTCTCCAGCAGTTGATAAGAGCATAGATAAAAGAGAAAGAAGAGCCTTACACAGCTTGAAAACAGAAACGACATGATCTGTTAATACTTGAATGTGTCATGAAGGAGAGAAGTGGCGAGGACAACCCAGAAGTCTAGAATAACGATGATAACCCACCCTACCGAGGCCAGTTACTGACAGCTATAGAAGTAAATTCACCGAATTTAAGGCTACGGACGTGTTACACAGACTCACCGAATCCCACGCAGTCACAGAGGGGAGTCTGGGCGAGAAGGACAGGCCCTTTTACATAGCCTTTGACTTCATCCTGGATCTTGCAGAGCCCGACCCAGCTGGCGTTCACAGCATACATGATGTGGGTAGGGGCGACATCTGAATGCGTGATGCGCAGAGCGACTGCATTGAAGGGGACCTGGAAAATCAATGTGCACTGACCTCCATAACTCGATTTTGACAAGACGGTTGTATCCCTTTCCCATCTAAAGCCGTATCTGCCAGGATGGCTGCAAAAATTCATCTGTACACAACATCATTAAAAGGTGTTTGGGGTGTCACTGCTTTAATGTAGTCAACCTAAAGAATCCACACTCAGTTCTTGCACAATGCCTGTGATGGTAGGATTCTGAGCTGAATATCTGGAACTTGCTTCTTTTAGCAGTGTCCTGAATGAATCAGAAGAAGATGTTCAGCCAAGTACCTGAAAACCCTGTTTGTAGAAGAGTGTCATAAAGTAAACAAAAAGCAACAAATAGCAAAGGCCTCTGCTCATTTGCTGAGGTAACCTACCGGGTAAGGAAAAGCAGATTATTCTAGGGGTGGTCGTCAGGTGTAGCCAAGTTGGCTCCTTGCCTCATCCCGCCCCATCCTCACCATCCCTGCCACGGTCCAGCCCACTGCTGGCTGCAGTCACTGTGTCAAGCCATCTTGTTAAGGATCTTCCTTTCCTTCTCTGGCCCTTCACCTTTTCTCCATGACATCTCCTTCAAAGGCTCAAAAGACTGGTGCCAGTCTTTTGAGTTGTCGATAAGGAATAATCACAGCACCAAGAGCATAGGGCTGCCCTCACGAGCCACTGAGTGCGCAGTTCCATGCAGAGTCAGCACAGCTAATGTGCAACCATGGAGGGATCACAGAGCAGAGGGTTAAGACTCTGGACCCTCCAGTCAGGTCACGCCGCCTTTTAAGGCTCAACCTTTTAATCTGCCACTTTGAGCAAGCTGACTCAACATCCCAGGTCTTGGTTTTATCACCTACAAAACAGAAGTGGCTAATAGAACCCCTGTGGTTCAATGAATTAACAATGACTCAGGAGACTCTATAACACAGCAGTGCTGAAGAAGTCCTCCCCTGTTGCTTTTATTCCTTCATCATACCAAATCTTAACATTATGTTGATTCTGTCCTGAAACAATTTTCAACAATGTGGTGTCCAAAGTGCAAAAATTCTGGTATTAGAAACTACTTTAAAAAAATGTATTCCATAGTGATTTGCTTACTAGAGCCCACTTCTGACCACAATTTAAATACTTTAAGAGTGCTCTTCTGAACCTCACTGAACTCATATAGCCATTCTACAAGGTATTGTCACCTATCCCCATTCTATGGATGAGAAAGCACACAGAGTAAGTGGAAGAACTGGGGTTAACTGGCTAGGGTTCAATCCCAGCCCACTACGAGAGCAAAGAGAACAGTCTTAACTGGAATGTAACCACATCAATCCCAATCACTAGAGTTAAAAGCAGTGCTTCTGGGGCTACACTGCTTGGATTCTGGCTCTGCCGGTAAAGTGGGGTCATGTAGCCTCTCTGCATCTCAGTTTCCCAATCTGTAAAATGGGGGTAATTACAGACTGTACATCACAGGATCCTAATGACGAAGAGTAAGTGAGGTGACAGTTATAAAGTGGCTAGAGTAGAGCATGATACAGAGAAAGTCATGTATGTGATTGTTAACAAATTAATTTCTCCCACATGAGTTTGGATTACCTGGTAAGGTGTCAGACCATGTAGAGGAGAGATTGACTTTGGATCTGGGGGCTGCAGCTTGCCAAGGTAACCTAAGATGGCCAATTCACGGAGTACTCTGTTATGTGATTCTCTGAAAAGCAAATCAGAGCCAGGTCAGCAGAGATCTACCCTCCCCCGCAGCCCTACTGGAAAAGATGCTGCTTTAAGTCAAACACCAGAGGCACATTTAAGTTTTTCAGATGGAAAAATACCAGTTAAGAAAATGTCTGTATTTTTGTAAATACAGAACTATGACAAAGATGTGAACATTTTTAAATGACTTACTCCGTCTAAGGCATTGAAAATAGACGCTCTGGTTAGCAGAGAAAAGTGTGACCCTCCAGCCAAATGGTGGTCTGTTATTTACCTATTTCTTGGAGTCTTTCTAAAAGTAAACTCCGATTGAACACAGATCAGCTTATGACCAGCAAACAAAACGGGACTCTCTCTTTCTTCATCAACAAATTCCAAATTTTCCGTTTCTGGAATGTGGAAACCTCGATTTCTTATCCTGGGCTTGCCTTTTGTGTACAAGCCATCGGTATCGTCTACATACTCAGGGGTGAGGTTTGGCATGTATTTACTTCGGGCCGAACCGAACTGAACAACGTGGCTGGGCGACAGCAGTCGAATGAGATCGATGAGAAGTAAGAGGCCATTGTCTATGAAGAAGACAGAAACACAATTAGCACCATTCTCATGTTCCTATGAGAAAAGGTTATACTTACCTCACAACAAAGTATTGAGTGGTGAATGACGACAATACCTGAGAACAAGCAGCCGGAATCATCCCTCCTTTCCTGTTCACATATGCTCACCTGTCACCCATCCCATTGTGTTGATGAGGAGAGGAGACTCTCTCTTGTAAGAGCTGAACACATACTTTATTATCTCAATATAATGTTCGTAGTCGTCCCTACAAGTCGTTTTCCCGTAATATACCATTTTCTGTGGTGTCCTCTGGTGTGTGAAGGGTGAACCTAAGAAGGCAAAGGTAAGAACCATTAGTCCTTATCTACTTGCAAGGTGGTAAAAGTATACATATTTTTACAACACAAAAGAAGTAAGACATGTTCATGTTTATACATCCAGTTAACCCCAATCATGTTACACTATTTATTCAAAAAGCATTTACTGAGAAATTGCTACAAGTTGGACATTGGTTTAGAAATGGGATACATCCCTGTATTAAAGAGAGAAAAACTATCATTTTATAGAGTTTATGTTCTAATTAAAGAAGAAAAAAAAAGTGGATAGAGAGCTCTAGTGGCCTAGTAGCAACAAGCTGCACTGCAATCAGAGAGGTACATGGTTTGAATCAACCAGATGCTCTGAAGGAGGGGCAATTTCTTCCTGTTACCAATCAGATCTGATTTGACAGTACATACACAAAATAATTTAAAAAAAAACAAAAACAAACAGATAAATAACAAGAGCAAATACTTATTGGGATATAGTATTTACTATATTCTAGGCCTCATGTATTGTGCAATTTTCATAAATCTTTGTGAAGGTGCCATTATTAGGGACACAGAGAAAGGAAGCCGATGTACAACGGAACAAAACACTATCCAATCCTGCTGCAGCCCCACTTGCTATACATGAGCACACTGCTGCAGTCACTGAGCCACTCATTCTTGGCAAGGATCGCCCTCCTTTGTCAAGAATGATGCCCTTTCCTAGGACACTAGCCCCTTCTGGTAACAGGCTAAAAATATGTGAGAAGTAGTTTCACCATCTTCACTTCTTTTTTTTTTAAATTAATTTTTTTAATTATCAATTTTAATGAACCTTTACAGAGACTATGGGTTTCCATTCATTCATTGTTGCATTTTTCTCCCTGCCCACCCCTCTTCTCCAGTT